GTTTACTTCAAAAACCTGCTGTGAAACTCTATTTGAACATGAAATTAACAACCATTTGAAAGTTTGGGGTAGGGCTGGGCTGGGTATTGTTCAAATAATATTGATATCGTTAACGATACCGATACCTTGACTTCGATACTCAAAAAATTTGAATTAAAAATCAGATAAAAATTCAGGCTGACACATTCACCCACGTCTTTTTCTTTAGCGGTTCCCATTCTGGGTCTGTCTCCAGGTGCTATAGCAGGGATAGCTGTTGCCGTTCTGCTGGCGGTTGCAGTTGTGATTCACTATCAATGCAGAATCTCTAAACTAAAAACACAAGTGGGTAAGTATTAAAGCCAAGTTTTGTTATGCTGCATTAGAGTTTAAAGGTGCATAATAATGTTTCAAAATCAATATTTAAATGTTTCTGTTTGGTTATGTTTGTGAATAGAAGAAATATATTGTCAGTTCTACAAAAGCTACTTACATTAAGATATGTTTTTGATGATAGAGAATCAAAGAATTCACTGTAAAAATGACTAACGGATGCATATTCATGCTTTTTTGTTGTTTTTGTTTTAGAATAACATTTTGTTTGCTGTTTTAGAATAGCATTAGAATAACTTTTTTTTGTACCTTTTTGAATTAATTGGTGGAGTTTCGGGAAGGGCTTATGGGGGATGATTTAAAAATAATTGTGAACAATATAATTTGTTTAACAAAGTAAATGTATATGGAATTTAAACCGATAAACTCACTAACCATGCCTGGAGAATTTACTGGTGAATCAAGATTGCTGCGTGAAAACATTCGTACACATATTTTACTCACAGATATTAATTTCATAGAGCCGTTCTGATTCTGAGTTAATCGATAAATTTGCAATACAAATCATCCCACATTCTTTGTACAGTTCATATGTAAATCATCAATATCTGCAATTTGCAATTTCTGTGAACATGCCAAACCAAAATAACCACTGTGTGCTGCTGTGACAGGTGAAGATAAGTCAGCGAAGGAAGGAGAATCTGTCGCTCTACCCACTGGTCTTACTGAAATACATAAAGATGATAAGATACAATGGTGGTACGAAGATGAAAACAATCTCATTGCTGAAATCCATGGAGTGACCAATAAGAGAACGTGTCCTGGTGCTGATGGGAGATTCAGGAGCAAACTGAGCCTAGATGATTATGGAGATCTCACCATCAATAACGTCAGAACCATTCACACTGGACTCTATAAACTCAAGATCAGCGGCAGAAGAAGAACCAAATACAAGCAATTCATTCTGACCGTTGGTGGTGGGTAACTCAAGTCTTTCGATGTGTTAAGGATCATGGTTTAGATCAGGGGTGTCCAAACCTGTTCCTGGTGGACCAATCTCCTGCTTAGGTTGAGTTTAGCTTCAACCTTATTTAAACACACCTGAATCAGCTAATCAAGGTCTTCAGGATTACTACAAAGATGGTTGCAACTGGTTGGAGCTAAACTCTGGAGGGCGTAGGCCTCTAAGGCCGCTTTTACACTGCAGGTCTTGATGACCAATTCCGGTTTTGTGACTATATCCGAATTTATGGACAACGTGCTTACATTTCTTTTAAAAGTGACTTGTATCCGATGTGTGCATTTTACACTGCACTTGATGAAACAAACCAAAAATAGCATATATGACATCACAAATCATTTTAAATAGTACATTGAGTTTAATTTATTAACATGGAATTCATATAGAAACATTTTTAATGCAATAGTTACATTCTTCAGGACAGTGATTATGTAGGCAGCGCATCCGATTCATATCTGATTTATTTCCACATATGAATGAGGCCTGAAACCGATCGGAGAATATCGGAATCCCTGTGATTTTTTTCCTGCTTACACGGTCGTGGGCCATATCCGATCTGTGCCACATGGGAGGAAAAAATTGGGTCACTTGAAGCATGCAGTGTAAATGCGGCCTAAAACTAAAACCAATTTTAAAGGGGTCATATGATGCTGCTAAAAAGAACATTTTTTTGTGTATTTGGTGTAATGAAATGTGTTTATGCGGTTTAAAGTAAAAAAAATAACGGTATATGAGTGGAGCGACTGAGCGGAGCATTTGTGTTTGCATTTTTTGCATTTGTGATTGGAGAAATGACAAACAAGCACTACTCTACACTGCTCAAAAATCGCGTTTGAATCATCGGTGAATATTTGGGTTGAACTGTTCTGGAACAGTGTTGTAAATGGTATTGTAAATGGCCCAATGGTTAGAGAGTCGGACTTGTAATCCAAAGGTTGCTGGTTCGAGTCTCGTACCGGCAGGGATTGTAGGTGGGGGGAGTGAATGTACAGCGCGCTCTCCCACCTTCAATACCACGACTGAGGTGTCCTTGAGCAAGGCACCAAACCCCCAACTGCTCCCCGGGCGCCGCAGCATAAATGGCTGCCCACTGCTCCGGGTGTGTGTTCACGGTGTGTGTGTGTTCACTGCTGTGTGTGTGCACTTTGGATGGGTAAATGCAGAGCACTAATTCCAAGTATGGGTCACCTTCACTTCATACAACTTAACCACTGATTTTTAGTCGTGTCCAAAGTAGTTTCACTTTCACAACGAAACACTAGCGCGAGCTGAGACCGCAGGCTAGAGTGATCGGAGGCGGGCGGGCTTGAGAACGCACACAATTCGGCGGATTCGACGGAGGCTGGACTCCGCTTCGTCCACAGTGAAAGCCGATCCGGCAATCCACAGCGCTCAGTTGATGTATTCCCTCAGCGGCCAGCACAGATCAGCTCTAGGCATGACGAAGCGGATATCGTCCTCTTTTGGAAGACCAAACAAAGTAGTTTCGCTTTCACAACGAAACACACAGTGCCTTCACGACATGGCGGCGGCTACAACAATACTACAGCGAGAATAAAAGTTACGCCTTCTTTCTTTGCGTGAACATTTGGGCGGTGTTATGCAAATCTTCCCACATAGTGACATAGATATGTGGGGGCGTGTTAGAACGAGCCATTTTAGGTAGGCGTGGTTAACTCTTAACTTTTATAAAGAATATCTCTTTGGATTTAAGACTTTAGTCTTTGCAACTTTACAGATCTTCTTTATGCACCAAGAGCTTGTAACACTCCAAAGAGAAAGGAAAAGTTGAAATAGCATCATATGACCCCTTTAATTACTTTAAATTTTAATTACCGCCATGTTAAACAAAAAAGAAAGTTTTCAAAAATAATGTTCTTACCTTATATGAAAAACAAAAATGAAGTCAGTAATTTAACAGATTAAAGGTGTAATATTTCATGAATCATGTAGGGAAAAAAGGCATGAACACGAATCATGAATAATTTTACTTTATGATTTGTGAATTTAGATAATAGCGTATTGAGATGAGATTAGTTCATGGCTAACTAAGTGCCTTTGGGTCTCATTATGTTAGCTGTCAGTAAGCTATCTGAACAATACAAAATGGAAAGGAAGCTCCTAGTTATCTTTGACCATGCCAAAGTAGGTTAGAAATGTCACCTAAACATATGTAATGTTAAAACTGCAAACTAATTTCAAATACTTAATTTTCTTCTGTATTTCTCTGTTTCTGTTTGCTGTTTTGACATGAAGTGAGAACGGAAAAAGTGAAGGAGGGAGAATCTGTCCCTCTACACAATGATGCTGAAATACAGGCCGATGATCTAATACTGTGGACGTTTGGAGCTGAAAACAGTCTCGTTGCTAGAAAGGATTCAAGACCAACTGATATTGATGAGAGTTTGAGTGACAGACTGCAGCTAAATGATGAGACTGGATCTCTGACCATCAGGAACATCAGAACCACAGACTCTGGACATTTTAAACTACAGATCATCAACAGCCAAAAGACCACATTCAGGAGATTCAATGTGGATGTCACCGGTGAGTGAAACATCATTTATTATAATAACAGTATATTTGTTTATGCAACAGTTCTAGTCCTTGAATCTGATTGGTTGATCAGCGTTCATTGCTTCATTGCTGTACAGTCATTTACATTTACCTTTAGTCATTTAGCAGACGCTTTTATCCAAAGCGACTTACAAATGAGGAAAATAGAAGCAATCAAAACCAACAAAAGAGCAATAAGATGCAGTTATAAAATAAAGAAATAAGCCCCAAGAAGCCGTGGTTTACAGTGAATTTATAACTGCTAAGGGGCGTAGTTAGGTACGACGCGAAGCGGCGTTATTAATGGTTATTCCATATACGTAGTAAATTTTCACAAAATAAAACAGAGAAAATAAAGTGTAATGATATTAATAACAATCATATATGTAGATGTATATTTAGCAACACTGTTTCTCTGTCTGTTTTAATTTCTGTCATCGTCTCTATATTTTGTTTCCACAGAAAAACAAGAGAAGGGGGAAAAGGAGCAGCAGGAGACGAGTTCAGTTTGATGAGATGAGAGACGCCCAGCAGTGTGAATCATGGTGAACATCTGAGCTGATCATTTCTGTCCTCTAGTGGAGAAACACTGATCTGAGGATCAAATCAGAGATCTTAATAATAGCAAGCTGGTCTAATGGAAACTGTCATCAGGAAAGCTGAAGGGACTAAAGACAGGAGGCTAAAGTATGTGTTTTGAATATAAAGAGCATGCTAGCAAAGAAAGGTATGTATTTGTATAGTGTTAAAAAATTGAAGGTAGAACCTCTGAGTCCTAAATGTTTAGCTTGTGAATGATCAAAGGAGTTTGAAATTTACTATTTTAACAATGACTTCTAATAATTTTCTTAACCTTGTTATAACCATGTAGCATGAGATGTTGTTTCAAACCATAATAATCAGTGGAAGAGTGCTGTTTTGCAAGTACTAATGTGGCTTTCAAATGACTATTGTAGATTGCTATTATAGATTACATTTGGTCCAATGGGCTGTTTTTTTTTTTTTTTTGCCTGAATTAGGTAAATGACTAGAAAATGACTAGTATTAGCGCTCATCAAGCTTTCGATATCATCTTTGCAGTCTGTTAGTTTGTAGAATTGGTTTGTTAATTGCCCAGTTATCAGCAGTGAAAGCTCCATGTTTCTTGCTAATGTCTCCCAGTGGAAATGTTCATTACGTTATTTGGTACATTACTGTGAAAATGGTTTTCACTAATCTCGTAAGGCGACAGTCTGCTGCTAAACACATTCCACTTGTGCTGGTACACAATATGACAGAAGATCTGTACATGTAGAAGACATGTAGAAGGGACATGTAGAATAGTTCGTTCCGATCACCTGAGCTTTTCAAAGCATGTTTGTGATAATGATTATGAAGGTTTGCTTGCTTCTTAATCAATGCATGCAATGAAATGTTTTCATATACAACTTTACTCTTTTAATTTCAGATGAAATCAGTCTGAGCATTAAGATGCAGCTAATTCAATAAATTTGTCTCATTTGAATTTTTACAGTGACTGTTTTGATATGTTGATATGCTATCTATCTATCTATCTATCTATCTATCTATCTATATTATTATTAGGCTACACGTAGACAAATGACAATTTAAATATAGTATTCTTGCATGTTGTTCACCCAGTAGTAGCCTAGTAGTGATGAAAAAGAGAAAAGAATGTGAACAATGCGTTGAACAGACGTTTTCACCAGTGCACGTTGTCTCTCAGCTTTTACCATCTCCCGCAGCGTTTTTAAAACGCCATGTCAGCATAAAAGTTGTTCAACTTATAAAAAAGCTTCTTGAGGCCCAGCTCTTATTTTCATTTTCTTCGCGTTTTTAAAGAGCACAAACATGTTGTGTGTGAACATTTCGTTAATTCACTGCAGTTTTAAAGCCCTCATTGCACAGATGTCGCCCAGTAGGTGGGCCTGTAAGCCTGCAGATTTCAGTAAACAATTATTGATTTAAAGAGCTGACAAGGTAATGAGCTCCTTATAATTTCCAACCCTAACAACACCCCTACTAGTTACAGTCTTGGAAATCTAAACTTGCTGCTGTTTCTTTTCACAACAAGTATTAACAATATTCATCGAAACAAGATTTTGTTGGACTCTACAACAATATGAAGAACACTTTCAAAGTCCTTCTGTTTTTGCTAATGATGTTCGGTAAGTGGGAGATTTCTGTTTATCCTTTAACACTTTTGGTTTCACTTAGACAACGGAACCCTTTGTGTCCTTATTGGCTGATCTTCTCTTATTCATTAAGCTTGTTACCGTATTAACAGTGATCACATTCAACCAGATTGCCGCACTTCCTGATCGGACGGAGTCTTCCTCCACTTTTTGTAATTACTTTGTCTCCTTGACTTTTTATAAGACACGTTGACGCTCGCTTTCTTGCAGATAACACTACTAATGTATACCAATAATTTAAGGCAGCTGCTATTTCCAATAGAAAGCGATATAGGCCTATGCTATTTACACAAAAAAAAAATAGCAATGGTGTTAAAATAACAGTATTTTCTTAGCATTGCATGTAAATCCAGTTAGATGTCCAGGCGCCCTGGAGGCTGGTGCAGGGCAGGAACAGGGCGGAGATAAGGCGAGCCTCCAGGGCGGATCAGGGAGCTCCGGGAGCCATGGCGGAGCAGGGGACTCAGGAGGCCATGGCGGAGCAGGCAGTTAACAGATAATTATCTTTCATTAACTCGTCTTTATTAGCGCCTGAATAAATCTCAATTAAAAAAAATGTTTATTAGATTTGTTTACAAATAGCTATTACAACTGCTATATTAGTTTATTCTCTGAGAAACTGTTTCTGTTTCTAGAAAAGTGAACAGATCATTTTCTTTCATTACCTCGTCTTTATTAACACCTGAATAAATCTCAATTAAAAAATAGTTTATTAGATTTGTTTACAAATATTACAACTGCTATATTAGTTTATTCTCTGAGAAACTGTTTCTGTTGTTTCTCCAGGTGTGTTTGGTGAAACTGTAAAGTTAGTAAAGGAGTAACAGTAAAGGAGTAAAGTTAGTATCAGTGATGGAGGGAGATTCTGTCACTCTAAACCCTTATCCTACTCAACTGCAGGGTATTAATGATATACTGTGGACGTTTGGAGCTCAAAGATCTACCGTTGTTGAAATCTATCGAAATTACAAAATGTGGGCTGGGACATCATACAAGAAATTCAGTGTTATTGTCTCTGGTGAGGATATATTTTGTCAAGCAATATCACAGTTGCAATCATACTGTTGTGAATATCAGCTTAAATGTGATTAGAAAATGGACCCTTTTCACAAGACTGTGATGACGCGTTTCAACGGTCACCAGCATCGTAAATCCTCAAAAGTTTATATATATATATATATATATATATATATATAGATTTAAAAAAAAATGTATAACACTATACTTTGTATTATATCACCTTTGCATCAAATTACACACACACACACACACACACACTCACACACACACACAAAAACAGTTAACGCTAATGCGAGGGTGTTTCTAATACAGCGTCTATGGGAGGGATGGTAAATTTGACATAGTTCTCTCTTCCGAATGCATTGGTCTCTCTAAAATGTTTTCCCTTTTTTGGAGTTTTTCTTTTGCTATTTGAGCAAATGGGAATGCAAAAAATATATTTGTGGTACTCTCCCATTTACTGCTTTCGAAGTTTACCCAACTATGTCGACTTCTGCTGCTGAGAAACCTGGAAATGTGAAAAAGGTCTATAGAGGGTTTGCACTTATGTCACCATTTGGTTAACTGTATGCGCGGCCATATTGGCGATACTTGGATGTAAACACCAGCATGGATTGGACGGTTAATGTACTACTGAACACGTTGTTATGCTAATTTATGCTGTCTAAACCACGGAAAAAATGTGTGGAAGCTGCTAAATCATATCGAGAAGGACTTAGCAAGCAAGTTAATAGGTGGTAAAGATACGTACGAGCAGTATTAATTAAGATATTAACCTGATATTTCACCTACCTGACCGAAAATGATAAGAACAAATACTTTTGTTGCCTTTTGTTCCTCAGACAGTTTTTTTGCACTCTTCTCCTTGATTTGTTATAACTTTTGGCAGTCTATAGTACTCCAAATGTTTTTCCCGGTCCGATCGATTAGCACAGCCCAAAACATGACAATAATTGACCATTTTCAGCCGCAATAATCAGCTAAATATACGAGTTTTGTTCGGTTCAGTGGCATTGTTTACTTTTATTATATAAATATTATAACACTGATTAGAATTTGTCACTCATAATCAATGTTTTAAAACTAAATAATAAATTTTGGTTTTACACATTAGTTTAAATAAATTACTCAACAGGCACACTCATTATATTTGTTTGAGGAAAAAAATCCTTACCAAGTCCAAACAGAAGCTTATTATTATCAATATTAATATTACTCTGTGCTAACTTACCAACCAGACACCACAAGCTCATCGTGAACAAAGCAAAAGCATAAATCATATTCCCTCCCTGGCCGTTCGCCCACCACTCTGTAAATGTCCTGCAATGTCTGAAAACAAGTGGCGCTCACTGCTGAGCCAAATGGATCAAATGGGTGGAGCTTTCCCTGTTTATGTTAATGGTGGGCGGAGCTCTGTCTACACTTGCATATATGCGGGCACGCCCATCGGGAGCTGTTGTCTCTCTATTCACAGCAAGCTACTGTTCTGTTCACCTCTAACTTATCTTTCAAGGATAAATTTACTGGGTCCTCATTAAACGTCATTAACATATTCAAGAAAAGCCGTGATTCTCAGTTGCTGTAAAGGCTCTCTGTTAGATGTTAGTGAATTTGTAAGATATCCGCACTTGTAGCCGGTTTGGGTGAAGAAAACTAATCTCCATTGTTTATCTTTGTTACATTTGGAATCTACACAACCTTATACAAATATGCAGAGGATGTTATTGCTGTCTCTTTTCGTATTACTCGTGGACGGTAAGTGGATTTTTGTTTTAGAAGTTTAATTATTATTATTGTTTTAGACATCAGCTGCGACAAGTGCATTGTAAAATGTCTTCCAATCCCACCTAAATCAGTCGCCGTCGACTTCTGTTGGAAACGTCTGTAGTGCACACACTGTAAAAAATGACTGTGAACTTAACGGTAAAAGACTGTAAAAATGCTACAGTAAAAACCTGTTAAATGGTTAACGGTAAATTCCCCTACTATATACGGTGAAAAACTGTATTGGACATTACATGTATTGGACATTAATTTTACGGTATTATACCGTTTTTGGAAGTGAGCAAGACCGTATAATTTACAGTGAATAACCGTAAATTGACATTCCCAGAATTCCCTGCGTTACATTTCAAATTTGATGTTTTGTTGTTGAAATAACTATGTTTCTTCTTAGTTTTTTCTTATCAGTTTTGTATATTAGGGTTGTGTGTTACACCTAATGTTGTTAAATTAATGTTTATTGTATTATTTCAGTTTCATGTGTGTTACCGTGATGGAGTTTGGTGTTTGTGTGAATGACGCTGTGCACCTTCTATATATGTTATTATTTAAAAGCTGCTTGTGATGGGCTTTAGTTCATCATGTGACTTTCTCATCAGCACATGCATGTGGTGGTTATCAGTGTATTACAAAGGTACAAAACAGATTTCAGTACTTCAATAGGTTGATATATTAACATTATATCAGTTAATGAAATTACAGTATTTAACTGTAAATTTAAGTTAAAAAAATTTTACGGTAAAATTCCGCCAACCACAGCTGCTGGTTTTTTACCAGAAATTTTACGGAAATTTTTTTTTACAGTGTAGATCAAGTGTATTCTTATCGAAATGACTAGATTTTGTATGCAAACAGCAGTAAAAGTGACTGCAACTTAGCCGGTTTTTTACCGTAAATTTTACGGAATTTTTTTTTACAGTGCAGATGCAGGGGACAAGTGGCTTTACGAAATTGCTGTCCGGCGGCACTTAGCCTACATCGGACCGAAAAGGAACTTTCGCTTCTGCGATTAAAGGGGAGGCATTTCTTAAAAATGAAACATTTTAAGAAATGTTTTTGGTCATAGTCTTAATTGCATAATGTTACATCTCACCTCGGTGGATATCATGTCATCATCTCACCGAACTAACCCATAGGGTGAATTGTAACATTTCACTTCTTGTGTTTGAAATGAAAACATGCATTTTATGTTTGTGCTGCAAAGATAACAGCTATGCCATTTAATAGCAGAGATTTGTAATCACATTTTGAATGCATTAAAAGAACTCCAAGCTACAGAAAGAAATGTAAAAAATGTTACAACCATCCCGTTCTCTCCTAGCATTAAGACCTTCTGAAGGTTTCAGAAGACAGACATTACTGACGATGCATAGCCTACAGGCAAAATGGGGTGCCACCCAAAATTTCATTCACTACTTTGATGCTGATTGGCTTTTAATTAATGACACATAGTAATGTTGAATATCAAGAGAATAGCATTAGTTGCAAGATACAGAAGCATAAGAACAGAGAGTTGCACTCTATACGGCAAGAGCGGGTCTGTTCAAAATTACACTTGCATTGCTTAAAAAAAATGTATACAATGTTTCATTTTATTATTATTATTATTATTATTATTATATCTATTATTATTATTATTATTCACGATAATGCCATATCTGTCTCGCACAGTTTTCGGTTGAATCTGTTTACTGAGTTGTGGTATCAGATTAATCTGTAATTGTTAATTTATGTTCTGCAGGTGTGTTTGATGCAGAAACAGATATAACGATGTCAGTGATGGAAGGAGATTCTGTCACTCTACACACTAATCTTACTGAAATACTGAACGATGATACGTTACTGTGGGTGTTTGGACCTAAAGGCTTTGTCATATCTCAAATAACGAGAAAAAAAGACCTGACCTCTTTTTTCGTCACCGATGATGTGGGATTCAGAGACAGATTGCAAGTGGACCAAATAACCGGCTCTCTCACCATCAGAAACACCAGAATCAGACACTCTAGACAATATAAACTATCCTTCTCTAGAGAAAAGACTACGACTAAGACATTAAATGTTACTGTAATTGGTGAGTAGGCTATCTCAAGGATATCTTTTTAATTCAATCATGACGTGATTATATCTTTTTAATTCAATCATGACGTGATTATATCTTTTTAATTCAATAAAATAGTGAGGTTGTTTCGGCTTTCATTATTTCACACTGTACGGTTTGAACCACACTATAAAACTTTACGGGTGCGGTCACATTAGCGGAAATTTAAGGGAAATTACACAAGGGAAAAAAAAGCGTTTTTTTTTAGCATTGAGAATTATGAAGCAATGCTTCCACTGCTTTCTGTTGATCGGAACGGCAAATTCGCAAGACCAACTTGAAGTAAGTTATTTGGGCAAAATTCCTGATCATGAGAATTGGAATGATTGGATGTCGCCTGCAAAATTTACAAGACTGCCCCAAATTTCTGATCTGATTTGTTTTCCAGGTGTGGTTGGTGAGATGGGTGGAGTGAATCAGTACTGGAGGGAGATTCTGTCACTCTACAAAATTATGTTACTGAAATACAAAGAGATGATCTGATAGTGTGGAGGTTTGGAGATAAAGGTGTCCTCCTGGCTAAAATCGATGTGGAAACTAACGAGACTTCATTAAATGATGCTGATGAGAGATTCAAAGACAGACTGCAGCTGGATCAGACTGGGTCTCTGATCATCAAGAACACCAGAACTGAACACACTGGACTTTATGAACTACAGATCAGAGGCCGTGAGAGCTCGCAGCAATTCCTGGTTTCTGTCAGTGGTGAGTCTTTTTAGAGCATGTCTTTAAAAGACTAGTTTGGTCAGCACCTTAAAACAGATACTTGTTTGTGTTTGATCATTTATTTAACTATTTAAATGGCTAAAGTATAAATATTAGATGAGAAACTTAAAGATTTTGACTAAAATAATTAATGTAGAAAAAAGTTTTACTCAGAAATTGCTAGTAAATTTCACAAACAATTACAAAGAACGTGCATAATACATTACTTTAAATGAATTAAATGTGATATTTTCAACATAATATTTCCGTTTCACTGTAAAGACCAAAGGACCTCACTTCTAACTTTTGTTTTTAAGATTTTCTGCTTTGGTCAGCTACACTCTAAAAAATGCTGGGTTGTTTCAACCCAACTTTGGGTCAAATATGGACTAACCCAACTTTTGGGTTAAAAATTTAATGTAAAAATTTAACCCAACGGTTGGGTTAGTCCATATTTGACCCAAAGTTGGGTTGAAACAACCCAGCATTTTTAGAGTGTACCTTTAATA